TGTTTTGAGAATGATGAGGGCAATGAATGTACAAATGCGCTTTGCACAATTGATGTATGTATGGATTGTGATAAGAGTTGTATGAGCTCCTAATAAAATGATTTAAAAAAACAAAGAAAATATCATGCTGGGATCTGGCTCACCTTTGTCCTTAAAGTAGCGTCCTTGCTTTTCAACAATTTTAAGAGGTTTTGTGCAGAAGACTATTGCAATAATGGGTCTCATAAAACATTTTTCCTTTTGTGACTTAATTTCACTCAGCATAATACCCCCAGGTTAATTTTCCCCTCTGATTTTGTGGGTGTGAAATAGTAGTCGTAATGATTTGAATGTGTGTGATTGTTTTCTGCAACCCAGGGACTTCCAAGGATTCTTTAAATATTCTAGATATGAAAGATTTGTTAATTAAGTGTGCACAAATATCTTGTTAATGACTGATTGGATGTGGAAAGTAAGGGAGAAGGAGTATAGGATTACTCCCACGTTTGTGGTTTGGAGAACTCAGTGGATGGTGGTACTGTTAACTAGGATATTGATTTGAAAAGAAGAAACCGTTTGAAGGAGAAGATAATTAAGGGTATTTTGGAGTTTGAAGTTGTATGGGATATCTAGGTAGAGATATCTCATAGAAAGTTGGCTATAGGGGTTTAAAACTCAGACCCTGTTCTATTAAGGTACAATAGTTCTATAAGAATCCTATATGATGGATATTTAAGAAGACTACAGTTGTAGGTATATAGTAGTTTGCCCTTTACTCATCCCCACTTTTACTCTAGGCCATTTTCCAATCTAACCTTTTATGAAACCAATACCCTGGTCAAATCACCAGAAGACACTTTATCTTAGTTACAATTACTTTATTGTTTTGTTTCTCAACAGTCAAATAATCTTTTAAAATATTCTCAAGAGAACATGTCATTTTAATTTTGAAAATCAATACATTTTCTCTTATTGTTCATTCCTGTATAGTACTTAATTACACAAACTCTTCTGTGAACACTGAAAAATATGGGGTACATATACATCTAAAAATTCTAGTATTTTGTAGTATTTCATTAAATAAAATCCACACATACGTTTCCTGACAGTTAAGAGAGAGAGAAATGAATGAATATTGTGTGTATACAATCAAAACAGTGTGATCACTTTGAAAGAATGGCAGTTGAAGCTTACGGAGTTAAGATCTTTCCTAAAGAAACATATTATATTACTGCTTTGATTGCTTTTTGTCATTTGAGATTCTGAGAACTCTGATAAGCTTAGAGATGGAAAGATAACCCTTAGAATTAGGCAAGGTGAGAAAGTAACAGTAGCAGGGCTCTGACTTGGTACATTCACTAAAAAACATAGCACCTTAACATAGCTTACAATATAGTGTCAGAGCAGGCTTATTACTATAACAACTCAGGATGATGAACCATCTATCTTTCTAAAGCAGCACCCCCCCAAACCCCCCACCCACCCTACCTCACACACACTCACTGATTCCAACTCATAGTGACCCAATATAGGGTTGTCCAGAGCCTTGTAAATTTTTACAGTCAGCCTGTCAAAGCAGTAGTAGCAGCCAGCTTGGTGATTTTGGTTGGTCAACTTTTCAGAGAACTGTAAACCAGAGACAGTTGGGTCTTGACACAAACCCTCCTAGGGAAGGGATGGCAGAGGTAGCATCTCTGGTCCATGCTTGTCAGCAGGGAAGTGATTATGCTTTTCGCTGGTTCCGTTGAGACCTTTTAGACCTGTGTGATGAGAAAAGGGGGTATCAAAACGTGATCCTCTCAGTTCTGGCTCCATTCTGACTTCTGCTTTGGAAGTACTGAATTCCTATATAACCCAAAATACCCCAGGTGAAGCATCTGGTGCGTTTTCTATTGTTTCACAATCATGATTACAGGGGCTGCCTTTTCAGGGCAGGAAAAGCATCTAGGAAAATATGGACACTTTTGTTGGATAGTTACACCACTGTCTAAAGGTTGAAGTGATGGACTGACCCTTCTGGACAGATAATTAAGGCAGCTTGTGGTACTTATCACACAAGATGACATCTCAGTTTAGAAGTCAGAGGAGAGCATTATGGGAACACATTTAAAACAAGGATCTCATAGCAAAACTCAGTGCAAATATTTCTATCCCAGCTTGCAGTTTTTCTGTAAGAAGCGGCAAACCTACCTTTCCTTGCTGATGGCTTTCAATATATTCTTGACATTCTTAGATTCTGGGTTGAGACATCTCCTCTCCCCATTTATTTTCATTGTAGCACTGTAGAAGTAAATGGAAGTGACAGATATTTTAAATAAGAGCAGGCCAGTAAATCCAACGGGATATACAGTTGTGAAGTCAGAAGTCTGTATATAACTGTTTTCTTTGCTATATGAAAGTTTTAAAATGATCACAAACTCTGTATTTATTTCTTATGATCATCACATACTTTCTATATAATTACAACCAGAGAAATACTATCAGGTGGGATTTTACTCACATGATCTCAACCTGTGGGCAAAATACACTTGCTGGAATCATTTCAAGTTTTTTCAAGGACTTCGGATTAACAGGTCGATCATAAATTTGTATGCAGGAGCAGCGTGTAGTTCTAGAGTGAGGTATTCCTGTGGGGAAGAGACAGACACAGCAGGGCAGATTAGTACAAGGTTTCAGCTGTTTAATCTGGATTTATTTAGCTGAATCTATAGTCCCTTGTCATTGCATAATCAATCTAATAAATGGTGTATCTCATAATTCAGCTCTGAATGATCAATCACTTGATTATCTGGAAAAGTGGGATTATAACGTGTTGATTAGCAAATCACATCCCTGAGCACAGTTCACATGGTTGCTTACACTGAATCCACTCCGGAATTATGTTTCTCTCTCTCCTCATTTGCTCACAGTTTTTTCTGTCCTTCCCTTCCTCTACTGTTATGTTTTCCTTCTTCCTTGTCTGCCTTTATTCTATCCACTTTTCTGACTTCAGCTGTGTCCAGAGGGCATCTCTGCTCATTTACCGCACTAGGCAGATTGTGAAACCTGAAAATATTCCATTTCATTATAGAAGTTATACCTAGTCCTACCTCTGACTTTACAAAACAAAATCCCTTAATGTTCCTTACCTTGAATGCCACTCAGAGTCAGAAAGAGAAGGCAGAAAGTAATGATGGCACGTTGATCCATGCTGCTGAGACTTGGACGTGCCTCTGTGGGAGGCTCAGAATACGTGGAAGCAGCTGAGAAGTGTCTCAGAAAACGTGGGTACAGATGTGGCATTTATCTACATAGGCACTTTCCCTCCTTAACCCTGATTGGATGATATTACAGTGAGCTCAGCAAAACCCTCTGTCCGGTCCGTGGGGAAGTCCCAATTTGCTGGATTGAAGGTATTATCTGTATTTATTGAGGCTTCCTAGTTTTGGAATTTCCCAACACTTCTTTTTTTTTTTCAATGGGAGTGAATTAGGTTTCACTTTCCAAAACATGAACTATTTCTTGAAAAACAAATGTTATTGTATATAGAAGTGATTTTGAAAAAAACGAAACCTTTAAAAACAGATTTTTTTTTTTACTCCTTGAAAAATAAAAATAGCAACATAACTAAGTTCAAGTCCTAAAGGTTTTTTTAAGTCATTTTATAGGGGGCTCGTACAATTCTTATCACAACCCATACACACATGCAGTGTGTCAAGCACATTTGTACATTTGTTGCCATCATCATTTTCAAATATTTGCTTTATACTTGAGTCCTTGGTATCAGCTCATTTCCCCCCTTCCCTCCCTACTCCCCCCTCCCTCATGAACCCTTGGTAATTGATAAATTATTATTATTTTGTCACATCTTACACTGTCCGATGTCTCTCTTCACCACTTTTCTGTTGTACATCCCCCAGGGAGGGGGTTATATGTAGATCCTTGTAATCGGTTCCCACCTTCTACCCCACCTTCCCTCCACCCTCCAAGTAT